AAATAAGTTAAAATAAAAAGAAAAAAAATATTCTATATAAAAATTTAAAAAAGATAAAAAATTTTAATAAAATTCAAATAGTTTCAAATAATCTGTAAAACTTATTAAAAAATGTATTAGTAAATAAAAAAAGCAAAAAAGTTTCATATAAATGTTAAATTTCTATATTTTGAATTATATAAATTTAGCTAAAAAAAAAAAAAGATTATTTGAAAATAATAAAAACAAAAAAAAACTTTTACAATTCTCTTTTAGTATTCTAATTTTTATCAAATAAATCTAAATTAAATAGAAATAATATTAGCAAATAATTTTAAAAAGTATTGAAATAAAGAGGTGTAGCAATCTAGTAAAATAGTTAAGTTGTTAACCTTTAAATGGCAGATCTAGAGTTCAAAACCTATAGATAACAAATTTTGAAAAATAGGTCTGTAGTACAGTAACTGTCTTTGTTAATTGGTTAGATTAGTGTATCTGTAACCTTCAGTTGCATTATCTTAAATAGGAGCTCGAGGTATCTGTGCAAAGTATAATATTATATCTATATAAAGAAATGTTAATAACTAGTATTGCATAAAACTTCAGTACAAACTCACAATAAAACCACCAGACACAGAAAGTGAAAAAACTGAAGAGTTAAAAACCTACTTGAAAATTCTAAGTAAAAAGATAGCACAAAACTTTTAATAATGCTATTAGACTGATAGAAGCCTATAAAACATCTTTAAAGAGATAGGTGAATAAATCAGATGACAAGATGTATAGAAAAGCATATGACCAACCAGACTGCTAGAATTACTAAAAAAAAAGATACTAAGATATACTATACTAGGCTATCTAGATTAAAAGTCTGAAGAGTTCTGTAGATTCTAAATAGCAGTTAGTAGAAGATAATAAAGAAAATGTCAGAAAAATAAGTATTGAAGTTTGGATAAACCTTACAAGAGTATAGCAGTTTAATAATTAGCTCTGACTGCAAGTGATAATTTAAACCAAAGTGATATCAGATAAGCTATAAGTATGGAATACAGAATGCATCAGTAGGTTTAGTACAAAGTTAAACATAACTTAGTAATTATAATATATCTTTACCAGTTTATCAGAATCATTGTAAGATGTAGTAGATACAGGATCAGAGTATTTAAATAGAGGACTTACAGGTAGGTTTAAGATATAGCAACTAGTATAAAACTTTTAGGTAGATTACTTAAATTAAACAATGACTAAAGTTGAACAAGTGGCTAGTTGTACACTTTTTCTATTATCATCTCTGTACTGTTACATTAACAGATGCTAGCCAACTAATACTACCAATAAAATTCTGTGTTACATGTATTTATTTTTAATATTAAAAAAAAAAAAAAAGTATTAAAATATTATGAATATATTTGAAATAAGCAAAAATATATAAAAATAATTAAAAATTTTAAGAATTATAAAAATTTTTTTTTTTTTTTTAATGTTAAGATGAATATATGCAACCTAGGAGTTTATTGATAGTATATATTGGCTAGCATCTGTTGATATAACAGACACAGAGACAATTATAAAAAGAGTATACAACTAGCCACTTGTATAACTTTAGTTATTGTCTAATTTAAGTAGTCTATCTAAAGGTTTTATATTAGTTGTTATACCTAAGACCTATCTGTAGATCCTCTATTTAAATACTTTAATCTCATATTCATTATGCCCTACTAACAATACTAATAAACTGGTAAAAATATGCTATAGTTACTAAATTATATTTAATTTTGTACTAACCCACTAGAACCTTCTGTATTTTATACTTTACAACTAACCTGATATCACTTTGGTCTAAACTATTATTTGCAGTTAAGGCTAATCATTAAACTGCTATATCCTTATAAGGTTTATTCAAATCCTAATATTAATCTTTCTAACATCTTCCCTATTGTCTTCTACTAACTGCAACTAAGAACTAACAAAACTTTCTAGACTTCCAATTTAGATAGCCTGATATGGTATATCTTAGTATTCTTTTTCTTCAGTAATTTTGGCAGTCTGGTTGGTCATATGCTTTTCTATACATCTTATTATCCAGTTTATTTGTTTATTCTTACTAAAGATGTTCATAAGCTTTCATCAGTCTAACAGTACTGTTAAAAGTTTATGCTACCTTCTTATTTGAGATTTTCAAGTGAGCTTCTGACTCTACAGTTTTTTTGCTTTTTGCAGCTGATAATCTTATTATAAGTTTGCATTAAAGTTTTATGCAATACTGATTAAGCATTTTTTCTTGTATATGTAATATTATACTCACATAGATGCTCTAAGCTTCTATTTAAAATAGTACAACTGAAGGTTACAGATTCATCCAATTCAACTAATCAACAAAGTTAGTTATCATAATACAGATATAATTTTTAAAATTCATTATTTATAGAATTTAAACTCTAGATCTATTACTTGGAAGTTGACAACTTGTTTACTTCACTAGGTCATCACACTCTTATTATAGAAATATTCTTAAAATAATGCAAATTATAACTATATATAAGTTGTAATTTAATAATTATATTTTCTTTTAGCCTTTTACTTATTTAATAAAATTTGTTAATTGTAATTAATATTAAAAATAAAAAAGAGAATAGTGATTCTAGTGTAATAGTTGAGTTGTATCCTTTAAGTAACAGATCTAAGGTTCAAATCCTACTTATGATAAAAGTTAGAAATTATATTTGTGTTATAATAACTGTCTCTTGTTAATCAATTGGTCTCATGTGGTTGTAACTTAGATACACCAAGTTAGGTTCTACCAATATTGAGAGCTTAAGACATTTATGTGAAATATAATATTATACATATATAGAGAAATATATAGTCAGAGTTGCATAAAACTTTAGTACAAATTTATAATAAGACCACTAGACATAAAAGACTAAAGAACCAAAGTAACAAAATCTACTTGAAAATTTCTAAGTAAAGAGATAATATAAACTTTTGACAATACTATTAGACTAGTTGAAGCCTACAAAATACCTTTATAGAAACTGAAGATTAAAACTAAACAACAAATATATATAAAAAAGCATATAACCAACTAGGTCATCAGACTTGTTAAAGAAAAAAAATACAAAAGTATATTATATTAGGTTATCTGAATTAGTAATCTGAAATAAGACTGATGGTTCTAAGTTGCAGCTAGTAGAAGATAATAGAGAAGATGCCAAAAAGATAGATACTGGGGTTCTAGTAAACTTTACAAAAATAAAAATAGTGTAATGTAGTAGTTAAACAAGTAATTTCTGTAACTGCAAATATTAGATAACTATAGCATGTTGTATAAAACTAGATTAGTATATATAGAACATAAAGGTTCTAGTAAGTTTTTAGTTAAAAATAAAGTAGTTCTAAGGGTACTGATCAGCATCAAAAACTTGAATAGGTGTAGCCTTGAAGTGTTCCTATGATACAAAAAAGATTGCATATGCAGAAGGTTTAAATAGACAAGATTTCTAGTTGGCTTGCAGATATAGTATCTAGTATAGAGCTTATATAGTAATGTATAAGTAAACTACTTAAATTAGGCATCAAAAGTGCATATATAGCTAGTTGTAACCTCTAATATAAAGTAGCCTTTGGTAGCATGCCATGTCCTATATACTTAAATAAAAATATTGCATCCTGAAAATAGAAACTTTAATATTAAAAAAAAATAAATAAATAAAAAATGTATTTGAAAATAATACAAATTATTTTAGATTTTGCAAAAAATTTTTATATTTATTGCAGCTAGTCTGGATTATGGCTGTAAACCAAACCCAGTAATTTGGGACTTAGTAGAATCCCAAAGGTTTTTACTAGATTCTACAATTGTGTCATAACCCAAACTATATTTGGAACAAGTCAAATAGGATATTACATGATGTTAATATGATTGGTAAATTACGAGATTATTATTAATAAGATTATTGGTTGTTGACTTAGTGTATCCTATTTATGACCTTTGAAGCATACTTAACAGAAGTTAAATGCCACTCTATACAGAGAAATTACGTTTTGAGAGGTAATTTTGTTATTCTTTAAATTATTTGAGTGCTGCTAAATTGAAACCCGAAAGTGAATTTTCAAGTTCTCAATATAGTAAACTGTGATAATTATAGTTTTTAGGGTTAAGCTTGCTATGGCAAAAACTTAAAATATTAACTTTTTGGCTTTAACTTAGCAGCATTCATATTGGTTTTAAACTTGAACATTAGCTAACATTTTAAGGTTCTGATTCTGCATTTAAGGTTCTTTTCATATTTGAAAGTGAAAGAATATATAGTTTAATTTGTATTTTATAAGAAATTTTAGCAAAATTGAGCAAAAGATTGGCTGATAAGGTTATAGTGATGACAGTTATAATTTAATAGTAAAGACCATTTAAAGAGTAATTGAATTAAATTTTTGCTATGATAACTCAGAATACCAATATATAATATTTAATTTTTATCATCAATGTTATAATATGAAATAACATTGTAGTAATAAAAATTTTTATTTATAAGAGTAAAAAAATGTTAAGCTCTAATAAATAACTTTTTAGACAAATTGTTGATAATAAATCATGATTCATCTCTGCAGACTCTTGATAATAAACAAATTAATCCAATTTGATTTTGATAATGAGCATGATTCATACCAGTATTTTTTAAAAAAAATAACATTTTATATTAATACAGTTCAACTTTAACCCTATTTTGATAACAGCAGCATTAGATGTCTTATTAACATGTTTATACCAAAGAATTTTTTTTAACAATATTAAATAAGTATCTTACATGTATATCTTTTTTAATGACTAATAGCCAATGTTGGATATTCTACCTTGTATGCTTTATATATATATATATATATATAATTTTTTTTTTTTTTTCTTTTTTTTTAATGAATATCTTATGTTCATATTTCAAGCCTAATTTGTGATGATAACAATTACAACATTAGAAAATAATATGAAATATTTTATTTATAATAATAAAATCTTATAATATTTATAATAAATCATCATTAACAAATTGAAATTCTCTTTTTATGATTGCTACAGGATTGAATTCCATATTACCACTTTGTGTTGTATAAGATAATTCTTCGGCATTACTTTGTCTACTAAAATTTGCATGTGAAAAATTGACTATTAGGCTGATTGCAAGTTTGTTATTATTTAATTGAGCAGATTTCAAAACATCTTTATTTTGTTTTGGTTTTATACTATTATTTTCCATATCAGCATAAGTAGTTAAAGCTAATGCACTATCATGTAGTTCACTTTCAGATAACTCTTTTTTATAATAATGAAGTTCATTTTTAAGGTTAAAAATATAAAAAGAATGAATTTGAGCCATACTTTCAATTTTTTTTGAAGACAAACATGTTCGATAAGTGCTGTATAACTATCTTAAAATAGAGAAATTATATTTACAACTTGCCTATAATAGTACAATCGCAAAAATAGCTGTTGCAAGATTCTTGAGATAGGGGTAATCATCCTCTATTATACCTTACTATAAACTGGATGTTTTAAATGAATCATAGCTAAAGTCGAATAAATAATCTCTACTTTTATAACTAATTAATTGTGTAGTAAGTATTCTACATGCAATATCATCATTGTGCATACTTTTATAGAATTTGGCAGCTATTTCACAAATTCATCAGAAAATTCCTTTATGTAAACCAAGACCTATATATATATTTAATTAAAAATATATATAAATAAATTGATACATACTGTAAATAAATAAATAAAATAATTCTACATAATTATTATCTGATAAAGTTCACTTAGGTCATATATTTTTTATTATTGTTATAGATTGACCGTTAATTAAATAGATAATTAACATTAAATATTGAATACAAGATATATGGCTTTTGATATAAAAAATATGTATCTTAATATATATAAAGGTAATCTATACCATATTGGCCAATAAAAAGTCTGAGAATTAAACTTTTTAAGATAGATAATGAATTTTCTATAAAACTAGTTTAAACTTGAAAGTTGATATGTACCTTTATAACTTGGATAAAGAAGATAGGCAAGCAGATATGATTTAATATCATATTCAGTATAACATTTATTAAATATTTTGATAGCTGATTCACGAAAAGCATTATTCAAAGGAATTTTGTTGATAGCTGCAACTAATTTTACTATACTAACAAAGCAATCAGCAAGATTTGCAGTACGTGCTTCCAGGTTATATATTGCTTCTTTAATAAGTTGGATTATAAATGCTATTCGATGACAATTTGTATAAAATGTATCATCATCATTATTTAATAATGAAATAATAGCTTGTTGACTAATTACATCATAATTTTCATCTAAGATCTAAATTAAAAAAAATATATATCATTATGTAATTAAAGTCAAATATCAATATATTGTCCATATGTATATATGTATGTACTTTATCAAAAACAGGCTTTAGTCTTACAATGGAAGACATAGTTCTAAAAATAGAAGCACATCTTGTTTTAACATACATTTCTAAACTACTGCCACCTAATTTCATACTTTTAATATTATCACAAAGAAGTTGATTTGCCCTATATGACCTTTTAAAAAATTGAACAATTTGATTTGCTTGTTTTAAAACATGATCAACAGACCTAACTTTTACTATATCACTTGCAATAAGATTTAATGCATGAGTGATACATCTAATATTTCAAATATGTGAATAATTATATGTAGTAATTTCATAAGCAACACGGATATTACTTCCATTATCTGTTATACAAGCTATAAATTTACTAGAGCCAATTTTATCAACAATATTTGAAATTTTAGAGGCGAGAAATTCACCTGTTTGTACCATATTAGAAAAATCTAAAATTGAATACAAATATTCTTTATGATTCGAAGTAGAGACAATAACATTATATAACAAGTTATTGATGAGGGTTGACTATTTATTAAGTACTAAAGTTAAGTTTTTTGCTTTGTCAAGTAAACTATCCATTCGTATTGTTATATGGACTGCTTCCTCATTAAGTATTTATTTTGATAATATAACTCTTCTAGGAGAAACCTACCCTGGCTTAAGTAGATGAAGAAGATTGTGAACAAATAGATTATTAATTACAGAGAATGCAATTCCTGCACAAACAAAAGCTTTAAGTAAAGCTTTATTAATTTTATTAATTCTTTCACTTGATATAGGTTTACAATATAAATGTAGCTTTGTTGATGATATACTTTCATTATCACTGTTATTATTTGTTATTTTGTTATTTCACTTAGCTACTTTAATTAAATAATGATGCCTTAAATTATCAGAAACATTGCCTTTGCAATATAGAGCTAAGTGGGACTTCATAGTTGCAGGCCTTCCATGTTTTTATTTTTCTTGAACACAGTATCAACATTGAGCACTATAATAACCTTTGCCATCGGATTCACCAGTATTGAAGTCTTCCCAAACAGGATCTTTTAGTTGTCTACCCTTATTTACTAAGACCCTTCATTGACCTGTTTTATCTGTCTTTTATTTGCCAAGTGCTATACTAGATTGCAATGTTTCAGATACACTTTCAGGAAAATCTTCTATAATAAAACTTTCAATAATTGCTTTATTACAAGAATGTTGAAGATAGATTTTATTAAAATTTCAAATTATATATATATTTAAAACAGTGCCAACTTGTATTCTTTAAACAAAATGGTTTAGCTTATATACTAAATTACTTTAAAATAAAAATATGCTTAACAATTATCAAATTATAATTGTAACTATATACATTAAACATTTTTTTCAGAATCTAGTTAGATGAAAACCAAAGACATTTCTAAAACAATTAGAAAAGACTTTAATACAGCTATTAAAAAATAATCGCCATTTAGGATCAATCTAATAGAAGTAAAGATAAGTTAACATTTTTTTTTGTAGTATCACAAATATTAAGAATTAAAATATTCGCCTATTTATAAATAAATAAGACCTACTATTTATAAAAAAAAAGAAAAAATAAAAGTGGCATCATATTCAAAACTTTTTTACTCATAAGTGAATTCTAAAAATGCCAACAACTCAGTATTGCCACCTTTTTTTTAAATACAAAGAAATAAAAGCATTACTAACTTGTCAAACTGGTTCTAACTTCAATGCTATTACAATATTAATGGAAACTTGTACACTTACTGTACTAGCTTAAATTTAGAGAACAAGCATATGTACATATGTATGTACATATGTGCGATCATTAAAATTCTGATCACTGATTGGTTGATGGGGTTTGGGATATGCAATAAGAAAAAGACACTGGTTTTGGTTTTGAATTGGGTTTGGAATCACAATAATGGTCAACCTCCCAATCCAAATTAGGTATAAAGTCATAATTGTCCTATACAGGTTTGGTTTATAGTCATAGTCTGGATATTCTAGATATATTTAGAAAAATAATTAATAAAAAATAATTTTAGCATATTTGAAAAACCAATAAATAAAACACAAATTATTTAAATATTTTGTTATTTATTTGTTAATCTCAAAATTTATAAAATATAAATATTTACAAATTATTATAATATTCAAAATTATGTGCAAATATGTGCAAATATTTAAAATATTTTAATTAATTTTAAATATAAAAAATAAATTTATGCTTTTTCAGAATTTTCTGAAGTTGTATCATCTTCTGTATTTGATATTAAAATTTTTTTATTATTATTTAACTTTCTTTAATATATAAAAAATATTTTAGTTATATAAGTAAAAATTTTATAACAATATAATAAATATATGCCAAATTTCTTAAAAGTTTGTATTTTATAATGCTTTCAGAAATCATCAAACTATCTTGCATTAGATCAAGCATAGTTTGGCAAACTGCTATAGCATATAAACTTTTTTATAAGTTGCATTGTTAGAAGGCCAAATCTTGTTTAATATAAGTAACATATAAGTATTTTTTGAGTCTTTAGAAATATTGCTTTCACTAAGGCTGTAGTTATTAGTAACTATTGCCTTTATTGTATTTTAATTATGATTACATAACTTGTACAAGATGAGTTTATAACTAGCTATATGTACAACTTTTGGTTGTCCATTTTAAGTAGTCTGCCTATATAGCAAGTTTTATACTAGTTGTTATAGCTGCAATCTACTAGAAGATTATTTATTTAAATACTCTGATTTCTATACTTATACTGACAAATAGTGCACAAGCTTCTGTATACTGAAGTGCTGTCTAAACTAACTTTGACTTCTTTGTCTATATATCTATCAAATTATTATATATTTTGAATATATAATTTGATTATAAAGCTTCAGAAGGTCTTTTGCTAACTAACTACTCATATTTAGTCTTTTGTTAACAGAGCTTACTCTTGCAGAATTTATCCAGACCCTAGTACCAACTTCATAGCAAATTTCTAGTACTTATAGTATACTTTTGCTTCTGATCTGATTTCTAATCCAGATAGTCTAAAAGAACTATAACCTGTTTCTAGTACTTTAGAGTCTGCCTCCTAAGGTTTTTTTTCTTTAGTTTGAGACTTCTTGCAGTTTGGTTGGTAGTACCTCTCACTTAAGGTCTTGCTTGCCTAATTTTTTCTATATTGGTATCTATTTTCTAAGTTTAGCCTTTACAGTAATACTGTTAAAAATTCATGCTACCTCTCTATTTAGAACTTACCAAGTAGGCTCTGGCTTTTCAGTTTACAGATTTATATAGTCATGAGAACTTATCTTGAGTTTGCATCATCTGATGCTGATTTGCATTTCTCTGTATAACTTCAATATTGTACAAATACCTTATGATCTGCCAGACATGCTAGTGTAACTATATTACAGATATCTTATTCTAACTGATTGACAGAATGCTATTGCTATAATACTGTTTACCTTCTGTAATATCAATATTATATAGGTAGTTTTTTTAAATTTTTGCTGTTAGTGGGTTTTGAACTCCCAATCTATTACCTAAAAGGTTGACAACTTATCTACTTCACTAAATTACTACACCTTTTTCAGAAATATTTTTAAAAACTTACTTATTACAAGATTTGGTTTCTTCAAATTATTTTTACTCAAGAATGATCTTAGATTTTGGTTTATTATTAATAGAAGTTAAGAGATCTTCAAATATAGCAAATATAGTATTCTTAATTTTAGTAGTTAAGATACTTTGCAATAATCTAAATTTCTTTAAAAGCTTTAAAAATTTAGTAAAAATTGAATTTTGAAAATATTTGAAACTATTTGAAATATTACAAATAAATTCAAAATAATTCAAAATAATTCAAAATAATTCAAAATAATTCAAAATAATTTAAAATATTTAAAATTATTTCACAATATTTTGAATAGAAAAATACTACAATTAACTTATAATAATCATTACTACCCCTATTTTTAGAATTAAAGTGCAGTTTAAGACAAAAATAAAAATTAAATTTAATAGTCCAGATTTTAGAATATACAAGGTTTTTAGAAGTTCTGAACATTTTTACTTAGTTTACCTAACCTCTGTTTCTTAGTATGTTTTTTGAGATATAGTCCTTAGATGATAATTATTATAGATTATAGTTAGTAATATTCTTTTAAATAATTCTAAATATAATAATAATAAATAAAATTTTTGAGTATCATCAAGAAAAAAGAATAACTTTAAATATTATTAAAAATATTTTGATTTAGATTTCTTAACAAATAAACATAAAATAGTATTAAGATATTTTTAACCAAAAATTATTATAAGGTTTAAAGTTATTTTTTTTCTTAGCAATATTTGTTTAATAAAAATTTTGAAAAATTTTTTACTGATCTGTAAAAATTTTTCTTATAATAAGTATTTTACTATTTCTTCAACTTTTTTGAAATAATTTATTTTTAAATAATACTTTACAGTTAACTTAGATTCTTTTTTTTAGGATATATTGCTTTTTCTATCAAATCTTTAAAAGTTTTTTTTATAATTTGCTATTATAAAAAATTTATTAAAATAAATTATAAACTAAAATTAAAATAAATATTAATTAATTACTTTATAAAAAGTTTTTTATTTATTGTATCAAATTTTTCATTCAATTTTTTCTCTTATTTTTTAATATTGTTATTTATTTACAAATTTGAATTTATCACTTCATGAATTAGTTCACAGAGTGACAAATTTAAATTTGTCATATGATAAACTAATTTATATTTTATTATAATAGAAATACAATATATATTTATCTAAACTTTTTTTATACTAAGTTAACAGTTTAAGTTAATTAATTAAAAGTTATAAAGCTTATAAAAATATATCTAATGATAGTTAGATTATCTAAATTAGATTAGTAGAGATTAAGATATTATTAAAAATAATTGGCTAATTATATATATAAATAATATAAAATTTTATATAATTAGTTAATTATTTTTTAATAATATCTTAGTATCTACTAAACTAATTTAGATAATTTAACTATTATTAGATGTATTTTAATAAGCTCTACAACTTTTTTTTTTTTTTTATAGTTAAAGTTTCTATCTTGAGGAAGCAATATTTTTATTCAAGTATATTAGGACACAGCATGCCACTTGGAGCTCACTTTATATTGAAGGTTATAACTAGTCACACATGCACTTTTGGTGTCTAATTTAAGTAGTTTGCTTACATATTGTTATATAAGTTCTACACTAGTTGCCATATCTGCAAGCCAACTAGAGATCTTGTCTATTTAAACCCTCTGTATATGCAATCCTTCTTATATTATGAGAACATTTCAAAGCTACATCTAATCAAGTTTCTGATGCTTGTTGCTACTCTTAGAACTAATTTATCCTTAACAGAAAACTTACTAGAGCCTTTATGTTCCATATATATAAACCTA